CATCGTGTCTTGTCGAACCCGTGTATTTCATTGAAAAGCTGATCTGTGCTCCCGCTCCAAGATGGCGCGCCCCCGGGACAAACTCAAAACCAATAACGAAGGTCCAAAGGTAGAGGCCTCCCAGATGGGATCCAAGTAGATGAGGTCGGAGGAAGGATCGCGCCGCATCGCCGGTGCATCGGCGATGCATCGGCGGCGTCGGCGATGCATCGGCGACGTCTGGCTGGATCGCGCCACATCGGTGACACATCGGCGATGCGGCGCGATCCTTCGACCCAACCCCCTCGCGTCGTTAAAAAGTGGCACGGAATAATTCTTCTACCTTTTTCGACCTTTGGGTGCCCGTGCGGGGCCACAAGACTGTAAACAAAAACGACTCGGGATGCAACTGGGGAAGCCACGTTGCGAGGCGGGGGTCTGGGAGAGGTGGAAACGCGGTCGTATGGACTCATTCCACGCGGGGCGTCCGCGAAAAAAACGTCCTGTATCCACGTGGTCGCGGCCCAGGAGCCCGTGAGGCTGTGGATGCGGGTATGCTTGCCGCCCACAAGCACAACAAGAGGTGACGGCAGAAACTGCGCATCGTTTGAAAGATCCCCATCCCGACGGGCACTGCCTCGGCCCCACTGGCCGACACCCACTCCTTTCTAGGTGGGAGTCTACGTGATGTCCCCTTCGGGCTAGTGGTGCAGAAATGCAATCATCACGCTACCATGGGTAACGCTGAATGAGGAACCAGGACTCTGGACACGGCGAACCTCGGCCACCGAGAGCACCCCCGCCCCAGCTCTACACGCAGCCGCGCCGAAAATCATGGCCACCCAGCGTCTCGACTGCACCCAAGCCCCGTACGGATGGAGATCGACTGGACGACACCGAGGAGAGGGGCGGAGAGGGCGCGGAACGCAGCACGCGCAGGACGCTTGGGTCCGCCGGGGCAGCGACCAGCAGGCCCCAACGGGCGAGGGGACCAGGAGAGAGAGAAATGAGGAAGGGCGAGGAGAGATCGGCCGCGGTAGCTGGAGAGAGGAGCCGTCCCCCGCAGCGCCACTGGCCGCTGCCCTGGCTGCTGCTCTTGCCATCGCGCATGCCAGGCGTGGGGCAACCGATCGTCTTCGCGAGCGTTGCGCCAGCGCGCGGTGCCATTGCAAACTGGTCAATGCAAACTCCCGTCCAAGACCGAGCTTACGCCGCTGTTCCTGGACCAGTGTGAATACGAACGCTGCTTCATCGCGATTGCTGCCATGACGCTCGTATCTGTACTGGGGCGTGTGAGAGCGCCGGCTGGCTGTCAAAAGTCTGCTCCCAGAGGCGCCGCCCCTCGTACCCCCCCCTTACGTGTTGCCACCCTCCCCTCCCCTCCGCGCCTCCCAAGACGTCCAAGACCTCCCAAGACAACCGCAAGATGCCCCCCTGGGAGCTTGCTTAAGACGGCAGCACAGACACGCCAGAGGCCCCCGGAAGCTCCCAAGAGGCGCAAGGCCCTGGGAGGAAGAGGCACGCGGTCTGGTCGCAATGATCAGACCAAGTCCTCCTGACATGGGCGCCAGCCACTACTTGCTTCGATAGTTGTTGTGTCTGGTACGTAAACCCTCGCTCATGTTCTATGCTGTGCCATGGCACGGTATGCCTGGCTACGCACTGCATTGCAATGTCACGATATCGTGCGCTATGTCACGCTACGCTGGACGCTGGCATGCTACGATGTGCTAGGCAATGCCATGTTGTGTACATGTATGCCGTTATGTGTGTGCTTCCATTGGACCCGCACAAAGGGCTCCGACATAACTAGTGCCGAGCCTCCCCGGGGCCGCTCAGCAGGACCACCCCGAGACCCAACACAATACTCTCCAGAAGCTTCGAGGAGACCACCGACAGTGGAATCATAAGTACACCAGAGAAACACCCCGATCAGTGGATGGTTTGAAAATCAATGACAGGGATATTGAAATCGACTGTGAGATCGATCGTGAGATCGATCGCGGGAAAGATTGTGAGGACGATGGTATGGTCGGTCGCGGGACCGATCGCGACATCGATTTAGTGAGATCGCGTGAGATCGATCGTGAAGTCGACCTTGCGATCTATAATGAGATCGATTGTGAGATCGATCGTGGGATCGATGTTAAGGACGATAGTACGGTCGGTCGCGGGACCGGTAGTGTATTTGATTTAGTGTGAGATCGATCGTGAAATCTCTCTTGCGATCGGTATTGAGATCGAGTGTGAGATCGATCGTGAGATCGATTGGGAGATCGAACATGACATCGGTAGAGAGGTGGGTAATGAGATCTATGGTCAGACCGATCGATAAAAAGATCGACCACGAACCTGAAACCCAAAAACCCGGGAACCCCACCGCCCATCGAAATCGGCCTGGAACCAACAACCGTGAACCCCGGGAACCTTGAACTGGGATCCCGGGAACCCGGCCCCACTGAAATCGCCTGGGAACTTTCGCCAAATCTTTCAACATCTGCTATTTGTACCCTTCAGTGCAAGCAATGATTGGGGAAAATGGCATAACACAAACTGAACGAGGCCCGCGCGGATTTCCTGGACCGGCGCTGGGCCCACCTCCCTGGCGCGCGGAGCGCGCTAGAAGCGGCGCTGGAGGCGCCGCCAATAGGGCCCCAGCGAAGATCCGAGAAACCTGCGCAGAACTCCGAGCGTTTATGTTCATGCCTCTCTCTCTTGTTGGATGGAGCCATCCCTGCGCCCAACAAGAAGCCCTCCAGAAACACACAACAAATCGGCCGCCGTGGTGGGCCGAGGGCGCCTCGTTTGTGATGGCTAAACGTGTGATTTCTCATCTCAGCAATACGAATTGGGGACACAATGTGTGCGCCCCCCAGTCTTTGAGCATCATGTGAGGATCGTTCTGCATTAAGTTTCTGGCGAGATAGTCGCGTACACAATTTAGCGCAGGCGCGGCATTGCAACATTGCTTCTCCACCTCCGCAGCCATGTGCCTCAGAGGCCCACCCGAGGGTCGTGCTAGCTGCTAGCAGCACGCTGCGAACTGCACACCGGCGTTGAGTCTAAGAACGAAACCATTGTGTCCCAAATTGGGCAGCAAAGAGAGCCCAACATGGGTAACACAACGACCGTGCAACATCACGGCCGCGCGCGCCTGCGGCAGCACAGCAGCGCTGCGTCCCGGCCTCGGCCTGGGGTGACTTCTACCGAACCGTCCTGCACGGCAGGTGGGGGTCTGCCGCACGCAGCCAAATCGTGTTCGCGTCTGGCGTTCGAGGTTTTCCATGGCCCTCTCGGGCCGTAAAATTACAGCGAATACGGTCGGGAACTTTTGCTCAACGTATCGTGGCGGCGGCCTTTGCGACACGCTATGCCCTGCGAGCTGATAGCGCGTCGCTCCGCTCAACGGGGCGAGGGGCTGGGAAAAGCTCGGGACGTTGACGCTCGGGGACTGGGAAGTGGTTAGCGTGTCGCGCCGAAGCGAAGTAGGCCAAAACCAGCGGCGCGACAAGCTGAGAAAAAGTTCCTTACCGTAAGTACAACGACTCCCGAGGCATTCTGCCATTCACACAAATCATGACCTCAAGCCGTGCCAATGAACAACCCGAGGGGCCATGGGCCGTGGGGCCAGGGGGGCGACGGACGAACAAAAGAGCAAGGGGACGTGCGTACGCTTACCAAGAAAAACGTGCGGAACGATGGAAATGAGACAAAAGACGCGGACGTAATACGGAAGACACAAGCAACGAGACAACAAAAACATTGCCTTTCTGTGGGGGGAGAAGGGGGGCAAAGAGATACTGATACCGCTACTCCCTAGACCTCGCCTGGGATGCGTTATGACATCCAGTGTTTCGAGGAGAATCTGGCCGTGGCGTGGCGATGGAGGCTCTCCTGGATGAGCGGCGGTTTCCGTACCTTGTCCTCCTCTGACCTATCGGGCCATCTCGCACGCCCTGCTACAGCAGGCCGGCTAGAATAAGGCCGCATCAACATAAGCTTCCGCCGTCTTGTTTTCTTCGGTCATGCGCGGGCAGGCGCGACCGATGAGCCACTCCTGCAGGCGGCGAGCGCGCCCGAGCCTGTCATCGTCTAAGCGCCAAGGGAAGACAGAGCACCTTCGCGGCCGTGCCGCGCAAGGCGCTGGGCGCCCAGAGATTCTCCTCCTCCTCCTCCTCCTCCTACTGTGCCCTCCTCCCCTGCTCTTCACCTGCTCTTTCTCCTACGCCTTCTCCTCCTCCTCCTCCTCCCCTCCTCTTCCTCCCTCGCCTCCCCTCAAGAGGCCCAACAAGGATAACGTAGTTTCCCAAAACGTCCCACCCTCTGCGGGGGGAAGCAGCGGTCAACATCCCTCCTGGAGAACACACGATCTGGACAACCCCTGCCGATACGAGCGAGGGTGGGGGAATGAGGACAGGTAGAAGAGGAACAAGGCGAGCCCCCCAACAGGGGCAACACACAGAAAGGCGAGATGATCTTTACCTTCGAGGTTCGACCCTCGATCCCTCTCTCCCCCTCCCCTTCCCCCCTCCAAAAAAAAGCAGAGAGTTTGCAGGCAGAGTATTATGTAGATGTCCATCGCTCCTCGAGGTCCCAGGGCACGACCCCCAACCTGTGGATATGGAAATAAATTCAGGCGGGGGACACAAACTCCCAAGACAGTTGCCCAGGCAAGCGCAGAAGCACGACAAACCTCCCACTAACCTCCTCCCCTTCATACAGCTGCGCCTCCTCTCACCCCCCCCCTCCTCCTTCTCCCTTCCCCCTACGGAGAATGAGGAGAGGAGAGGAGTGGAGAGGGAAGAGACAGTCGAGTTGGAGGAGGGGGAGGAGGAGCAGATCAGATCTCCCCCATGCGCTTCCTCTCTTCTCCTACCTCCTCGCCTTCTCTCTCTCTCTCTCTCTCTCCGTCTCCCTCTTTCATGATCTCCTCCTCGTCCTCAAAGCGGAGCGAATGGCTTGCGCAAAGGGCGCCGCTTGCCCCGCCGCCATCAGGACTTCATGTTGGTGTCTCCCGCACGTCAGGCGAGCGGGCGGCTTCGGCGGGGACGCAGCACCATGTCTCTTCGCTCTGGCTTCAATCCGTTGTAGGCAAATTTGCGGTCGATGATGAAAGATTGCGTCGGAAGCGTGAAGCTGTGATGCGTTTGCCACAGCTGGGGCGAAGAGCGCGGACCACCAACATCAAGGCCTCCACGTTCGTCGATAACGTTGTGCAAATCGCCTGTTTGTGGGAGATGCATTCCGTGAATCATGTTGAAATAACAGCCTTTGTGGTCGTGTGATCGAGCTCGGCAATGCTATCAAAATAAAGGCATCGCGGATGTATGGAGGGCAATCCTTCTGAGGCTCGAGGTCGCGCTCTGGCGGCTTGTGCGAAGTGTGGGCCACTGGGTATGTGCGCAATGGAGGTGTACTTGCATGCTACGGTCCGTCTCTCGGAACTCTGTACGGCCAACAACCATAATCAAATCCCTGGTTTATGGCGCACCACCGATATTTTGCGTGGCATCAACTTCGGGCTGGGTCTGATTCGTGGTCCTCACAGTTGGGAACACACCGGTTCTTCTGTGTACTGGACTCACTCCCCAGCTCAGGAACAGCTTCCGATGGCATCAATGCAGGCAATTCGATAACCGATGGAATCACAGTCCATGGTAGCAGGGAAAACGAGTGGGCATCTTCAACACGCCATTTTCTAACACACGGGTCATCTTCCAGAACTGAGCATGCTTTCGACCCTCAGTCTGTGCAACATATTGTCCAGGGGTGCTTTCAGCTGCTGGGACTGGGAGCGACGTTGCAGACGATACGCGACGCGACGACCAAGGACCACCTCCCTGTGATGTGCACGATGACGTACGACAAGGGTGGCATGCTCGGCGGCACCACGGACAACACAAATATGTGGACCAAAGATCTCCGTATAGCATCTCTACGGCGTAGTACCGGTCCGACCTTATGTTTGAAACCACAGGAGATATTAACAAATGATGGCTTGAGATTCCACGGGATCAGGACGTTGCAAGATGAAGATTTCGAGCGTGCTGAACAAACAATTGCTACGGCAACGCAACAGGTCTTCTCCGGATTCACCCGGTCGCATCCAAATGTGCAAACACAATTGTGATTGTGAACTTCGCCGACGCATTCTCGCCGAACGGCTCCTGTGGATAATGAACTTCGAAAACAATCATTCGGTCCGCTGGTCTTGTGAGCGACGTACACCATCACGCTCTCTTCGCTCTCAGCTGGTGGAGGGGTTTCCGGATAGTGGCGGTGGAAATTTACTTCTGAAGCTATGCCATTATCCAGGCGTTCCGCACGATGTCGCGTGGGGAACCGACGAATCGTGAAGAACGTTTGGTGCAGGGGTCGGCTCCTAGCAGGGAGAAGTGGGTCCAAGTCAGGAGAAAGATGGGGAGGAGGAGTGGCGATCGAAGCGGGTGGACACGACACATCGAAGCGATGGAGGATGCGGTGTTGGCGAAATCTTCCCTGCAACAGATATGACGTTGTCGGACGGACTCCCGCACGAAAGGCGATCAATGACGAAACGGTTCCCTTGAAAGTCTGGCGCCAAACTTCATACCCGAGCTGGAGGGCTCAACATGTTGCCGGGGTACGGTGCGATTCGCCCTCAACGGAAAATTCCTGGGCTCAGGTGGATCATGGGGATGGGCTTGGCTGAATCTAGTCATCACGATCGGACGCCGCTCCATTGGCATCTTCGCCGTGGTGCGGGGTTCCCAGATTCATAAGCAACGCGGCCCGAAACGGCTGTGGGTAGTTCATGTATTGCCAACCGTTTCAACATATCGTTTTATGCTGGGACCCTCACGGTCATTCTTTCGCCGGAGGATCACTGATTTGTTGTCCGCTGCGGATGGGAGCCAGCGATATGTTTTGTGTAGTCGCCATGTTTGGATGGGCCGCTCTCGGGAGTGAGCCGATTCACACCTATGGGGTCCCCCCTTCCATGTTCGAATCCGAGCGGGGTCATTCAAACCCTGTAACCGTCGTTACTGTGGGGCTCCTCAAGCGTGAATCTTGAGGACATCTCGAACGGGAGTCTGGTTTCATAGCTAATGAATCGCGTGGAAATCTCAAGCGGGAGCACTCTCCCTAGGGGTCACTGCCTCTATGTGCGAATCCGAACTGGGTCATCTAAATCGTGCAACAATCGTTTATTTTGAGCTTCTGGGCCCCGACATCGCCGATGCATCCTCGCCGACGTCACCGATGCATCGTCGAATCGGCGATGCGGCGCGATCCTCCGACCCCATCTGCTCGCATCCCAGTTTGGAGGCCGTAAGAGGTCTGGGGGACGAAAGGCCCCTCTCCTCTTCCTCATCCTCCTCCTCCTCCCCGTCGGAGCCACTTCCTCCTCCTCCTTCTCCTCGTCCTCCCCCCCCTCCTCCTCCTCCTCCTCCTCCTCACCTCCTCCTCCTCCCTTCCACCTCCTCCTCCTCCTCCGTCCTTCCTTCTCTATCCGTCACTGCCTCCTACTCTCCTCCTCCTCCGTCCAGTCACTGTGCGAGAAACATCCCTCCTCCTCCTCCTCCTCCTCCTCCTCCTCCTCCTCCTCCTCCTCCTCCTCCTCCCCGTCGGAGCCGCTTCCTCCAGGAGCGAGCCGTGCGGTGGACACGGGCGGGCTGGAGCGTGCCCCGTCACCGGCCGCGCAGGTTGAAGAGCCCCCGTCCCCGGCCGAGGAGGAAGGGGCTTATGGAGGCTTCCAGGGGGGGCATTGGAAGCAGGATGGGCGCTGTGCCCGCCCAGAGATCACCCCAAGACTCCTCTTGAGGGCTGCCTTGGCAACTCTCGATGCCGTCTTGGGACCTCCTCGAACTCTCCGCGAATGGCCCTCTCGCCACCACGGCCGGGTTGCACCAGGAAAGGGGAGGGGCCACCATGGCAACCCTGTTGACCCAGACCACACGGAGCCTCGCGCAGCTTCGCCGCGCCCGTACGTCGCGTACGACACGAGCCGAAGCCGAACACCGCTTCCCTCTTGGGAGATCCCGTTTCGCTTCGATCCCGCCTCCCAACTTCAGACACCCAACGGGGCGACCGTCGGAGCAATCATCGGGCCAACCACGGGACAAGCGCATAGCAAGCAACCATCGGAACAACCAGCAAGACAACCATCAGGACAACCATCGGAACAACCATCGAGATAACCATGGGGACAACCGTCGTGAAACACCATCGGGAAAATCATTGGAACAACCCACGGGAAGACAATCGGGACAACCATCGGGACAACGAACCATCGGGACACATGTTTCTCGCCATCGCGTAGCTACGCCTCGCCCGCACGCGCGTCACGAAACGTCACGTATGGGGCATTTGTCTCCGACAAATTACCCAATACAGCGCTTGCCCAAAAAGGCTATCACTTGCGTTGCTGAGTGATTGGCTGGCGCTTACAAATGTTTGCTTGGTGAGCGCCCTTGGCCGCCTCCGAGCCGCCCGGTGCGGTGGCTGTCGTTTCCAATTTCTGGGTCTTCGTCCGGTGGCCGCCCGTCCCCGCTTCGCCGCCGCCCCGCGCGCTTGCTCGCGTCTCCAGTTTCCCGCCTACTGATACTTACACTTAGTTTCCTACTCCTACTCCTACTCCTACTCCTACTCCTACTCCTACTCCTACTCCTGCTCCTACTCCTACTACTACTACTACTACTACTACTACTACTACTACTACTACCACTACCACCACTACCACTACCACCACCACTACTACTACTACTACTACTACTACTACTACTATTACTACTACTACTACTACTACTACTACTACTAACTACTACTACTACTACTACTACTACTACTACTACACTACTACTACTACTACTACTACTACTACTACTACTACTACTACTACTACTACTGCTACTGCTACTGCTACTGCTACTGCTACTGCTACTACTACTGCTACTGCTACTACTACTACTGAAACTACTACTACTACTACTACTACTACTACTACCACCACTAGTACTACTACTACTACTACTACTACTACTACTACTACTGCTACTACTAGTACTACTACTAGTGAGACTACGACTGCGACTACTACGACTCCTACGACTACTACGACTACTACTACTACTACTGCTACTACTACCGACGTCTCACTTTATCGGTCTCACTATCGATCTCACGATCAATCTCACTATCGGTCTCGCTCGATAGACCTCACTCGATCGATCCCACTCGAACTGTTTCATTCGATCGATCTCACAACCGATCTGACGATCGATCCCACAACCGATCTCACCATCGATATCACGATTAATATCACGATCGCTCTCGCATTCGGTCCCACTATAGATATCACTATCGATATCACAATCGATCTCGCAATCAACGTCACCATCATCATCAACAACATCATCGTCATCAACATCATCATGATCAGCACCATCATCATCGGGACACCTTCATCATCATCACCTCATCAACATCATCACCATCATCATCATCACCATCATCATCATCGGGACACCATCATCGTCACCATCATCATCATCTACATCATCATCATCATCGCGACACCATCAGCATCATCACCATAATCGGAACACCACCATCATAATCACATCATCCTTAACATCATGAGCAACAGCATCAACATACTCATCATCGGGACACCATCATCATCAGCAACAGCATCATCATCAACGTCATCATCATCACCGGGACACCATCATCATCGTCATCATTCACCATAATCACAATCATGATCGGGACACCATCATCATCATCTCAACATCAACATCATCATCATCACCATCATTGGGCCACCACCATCAAAATCATCATCATCATCATCAACATCATCACCATCATCGGGACACCATCATCGCCACCATCATCATCAACATCAGCGTCGGGACACCATCATCATCACCATCATCATCGACAGCATCACCAGCAACCTCATCATCGGGACACCATCATCATCATCTTCACCATCATCATCATCTCATCACCATATCATCATGATCAACATCATCAG